CATCGGTGCGCTCGGCAATCCCCTGGCCCGCCTGCCTAGGTTCCCGCCCCGCGCTCCGCTGGACTCGGCCGAGCTCGCGCCCATCCCGGCGCGCCCGGAGCCCGAGCGGCGAGGCAGTGCCAATCGATGTGCGAGCGCGCGAACGCCGGCCGCGGGGTTCCGGGAGCGCGGGGATGCGGGGTGGGCATCGCGGGGAGGGCCGCCGTCCCGGGCCTTGGTGTTGGGGTCCACCCGGAGATCCTCGAGGCTGAGGGTGGCTGCGCGTGGAGGGAGCGTGGGTGGCAGGAGGCTGGGGACTCGGAAGTTCCTGACTGGGACCCCGACCCCACAGGCTCCGCTCCGAAAGCTGCCCTGGGTCGTGGGTCCACGTGGACAGCCCCGAGCAGAAGCCTGCGCCAGAGGCTCTGGGGACACATCCGGCCGGGCTGCAGGACCCTGCGCCCCAATCTGGCGGAGAAGCCTGGGGCCCCCTTTTGACACTCATGGGGCTGGTTGGGCTCTGGCTGGAGTGGACGTGGGGTCGTGGAAAGAGGAATATCCCCGATTTTCACCACGCCTCTTCCCCGCAACTAACACGTACGACACCCCCTTCCTTTATTACCTGCAGCGCTTCTTTCTGTCTGTAGTGACACACTGGCACATCAGCCCTTCCACCTTGTTTGAAGTGCTTTTGTCCGCGCGGTTTTACCTGCTACCTTCCCCTTTACAGATAATGTCCGATATTCGCTGAAGAGCCGCAGGGCCCTATAGTGTGCTGTTGACACAGCCATCTGTCTTTGATTTTCGACAACCTTGTGAGATAGATATTATCCACGCTTTAGATAAGTTAATGAGACTTGAAGAGGTTAAGTTAGCCCGAACGAGTTATCAAGTAAATCTTCTGCAAACTTTTTGTTTCCTAATTCCAAAGTCAAGACACTTCCACAGTAAAAGGAAATTCAAGCAAATGCTTAGTGCCTACTAGTTATGCTAAATTTTAATAAGTGCCCAGGGAGAGTACATTAAACTTTTCCTGCATCTCTTGCTGATTGGACCCTTTAATAGCTCCCTGAAATTGTATTACAGAAAATAAAAACTTTATTGACAACTATCACAAAAGTTAACAATTTAGAAATCTTTACAAGAAGACAGTAACAACAAACAACAACAAAAACCCCTTAAACTCTGGAATTGTTCCATTCTCTTGGTTGAGAAGGCAGCAGTTTTGGTGTTCTTGGTTCTACAATTTGCACATATCATTCCTTGTTTTGTGATAGTACATTCTGATTGCTTGAGTTTTCTTTTCAGAGCTCTATTTGTTGAGGTTCACAAGCAGGGTGAAAAAGTAGACTGGACTGCGTCCCAGACCCAGTCACTTTTACTTCCATTCAAGGAGCTCTGTGAAGAGGAGCCACGTGCCCGCATAGGACCCACCCTCCTTTCATCAGCACTCCCTCACCCGCAGTTGCTCACATACTGGGCTGTCCCTGAGACTTGTCAAATGGTCAAGCTTTTTGTTATCCAAGCCCCTTTGGCATTCTTAAATTCTAGTGAGGACTCCAAAGAGCTTCTACTTAGTAATTAAAATGAAAATTTTAACTATTTTCAATTCTAACATACAAATCTGTATTACCATCCTCAAAACAAATAGAAAAGTGTCCTGGTTTTCATCCTTGCAGATTTCCTTTGTGTCTGGCTGAAAACATCTGGATTCTCATATCTGCTTCTGCAGCCAATCTTGCAATATGTTGTTTTGGTTAAAGTATATTAAGAAATTCAGACTTACAGAGATCTACAAATTGGCAAAGAAAGATCTCATATACTTCCTTGCCATAGTCTCAAGGGTACCCGCTCCCCACCACACACACACCAAATACAGGCTGGACTTCTCCAACCTGAAATCTGAAGTCCTCAAAATCACTGAGCAATGAAACTCAAAAACAAAAAAGGCAAACAAATAACCATAACCCCAGCACCCAAGATTATGAGGTCCCGAGCATTTTGGATAAAAGAACAAAACAGCTTCTGAAACTAAAAACTACCACTCTTAGCTGCCTATCTTAGCAGATTTAAAGAAAAGTGCCCCAAAAGTAGTTCTAAGACATATCTAACCATATGTCTTGCGAGGGAGCATTTTCCCTTAAACAAAATAATTTTAGTAGAATATCAGATGTTGTTACATCATGTCATAGAGGAGGCACGTTATCAGGCACGGGACAAGAAGGTTGCCCAGCCTACCTTCTTGCCTCCCTAGGCTATACATCAACTAGGTCATATGAAGAAGCACTTTGAAATCCATTAAAAATCTGGCTATGAAGAGGTTTGTGTTGGTAAGCATTCCATTGAGTGGAATACTTATTATGCTTGGACAGTTTAGATTTGTATCCTATAAAGCATAAATCATGCCCTTAAGAAACATATTCTTCTTCTGGGTCTTTATATCCACAAAAAGGTTTCAAGTGATCTTTTACGCCTTCTGAGATTGTTTGAAGTTTTTGTGTTCATGTACTCTTCATAGGGAGATTATTTCCACAGAGTCTGAAAGAACTCTGTCAACCATTAAAGTTTAAGCAAATTTCATTAAAGTCACTCTGAGTTGCTTCTTAATGCTTTTCCAAGTGGGCCTCATACGTCTCAAGAATATACAATAAGGAGTGGAGAAGAATGTGAACTTCTTTGTTCCTTAGTGTATTTTAGAAAGGACCACAGTCTTCCCCTTTATGGCAATATGCCCTTAAGTAATAAAAAACCTTTTAAAAAATTCTAAAGATCTCTTTCTTCTTTGTATATTATCACATAGGGCTTAATTTTTACTCATATCATGGATAAAATTTTGTCTTAGCCCACTGTAATTGCTGCCCTGAGCATCAACTTTTATTAGAAAATTGATGAATAGTGGATTTTCTTCTTGGCACACTTCCAAATAAAAGACAAATCAACTCCCCGTCACTGGGTTATTATTTTTCAAAAGAAAAACAAACTTGAATAATACACATAAACACAAGGGAAGTATTAAATATGGTAATTAAATAAATGAGAACTCCTCCTAAGAAAATTATTTTATTGGTGGCTAAATTTATACAGGGTTGTGGTCTAGCAATTTGAATACTAGTTCCCCAGCACATTTGTTGTGGTTACTCTGTGCTCTCATGTCCTACCGTTAGTCATACTTGTACCTACTAGTCAAAGCCTAATACTGGTTCTACAGCACGTAGAAAATCCTTGCATATTTAGTTTTGTCCTTGTATCTTCAACTTCTTGATTGTCAAGCCAGACCATTGTCCTGCATGAACCTGTAATAACAATAACGTTTTTGTAAACGTGTAAAACCATTGCCTCCATCAAGAAAAATAAAGGAAAATAACCAGCTATGAACCTTGTCAGGAATACTCTCAGGCTTGTTGAACTGCATATTTCTAATGACGTATCTAGGTCTTCATTTTTAAAATTTTCTCATGACTAATTGAGGATATGAACTGGAAGTTCTTGTTGTATGAAGCTCATTCCAAGTCCCCATGAGCACATTAGCAGTGAATCTGTAAGCCATGATGTCAAATGAATGATTCTTCATAGGGACGTATTGCTAAATTCAGGCATATACAATTTATTCATTTGCATTCTGCCCAAATCAAGTAGAAACTGAGGTCACCAGCGTATTTAGCAAATGCAGCCTGCTGTAGCAGATCAAAGCACAGAGCTGAAGGGTTTTGCAGTGCTGTTTGATCTAGGTGGTTAGCCCTCATAAAACCCCAAGTTCTTGTGTTCTATATTCTCTCTTAAAATGAGAGTGAGATGTGGTCTCTTTGATTATACACCATCACTGAACTAATACTATATCCTGTGCGTGCGTGCGTGCGTGTGTGTGTGTGTGTGTGTGTGTGTGTGCCTATGGCATGGTTTTCATTTAATCTTCAAACGCACCCTCTGATACCAATATTGTTGTTATCCTCAATGTTCAAATGAATGGCCAGACAGAGAGGTTCAGTAGTTTGTTGATTTCACACAGATGGTGAATGGTGGGCATTTCAACACAGACTCTAGAACCTGAGCATGCCATCGGTCCACTATGTTATATGTAAAGGCAGGCCCTTACACAGAAAATGACAGCTGTTGTTATTTAACATATAAATGGGATAATCAAAGCAGTCCTCATTCTCTAATATGCAATTTAAAATAAAAGCTATCCAATTATTTTTCTACCTTTTGTTTCAGCAAAGTGATCAACATTACCTTGTGTTCTGTTTAAGTTAGATAGACATCTGCCTTTTTAGATTTATTTTGGAAAAGAAAAGTCATGTTTTAGAACTTTTCTTTCCCTTCAGTTTTGGAAGGCAGCAAGAATCAGCCAGATGAAGCATCCATCTGGCTTTTTTGCTGCTCGTGCTAATTTCTTCCTGGTGACCTTGGAGTCCTTATTTATAGCTCTCTTTGAAGATCAGAGAAACCTAGGTTGCTTATTGCCCTAATCTTCAGAAAAGATCTATTGACAGATATTTCTGATCTCAAAAGAATATATCAACCCATATGAAACTGCTCAGTTATGAGGCCATGAAAACAGAGGTCATTTCTACTGA